GTTATGCAACGGTGGCATGGCAGTCAATGAGTGCTCACAGGGGAGGTGGAGAAGGAGGAGGGGGAGTGGACACGGGGGAGCCCGCAGAGGAGCTCGAAGATTATGCGAAGCACGCCGTCAACCACCGCAACAGCAGCCCCGACGTGGGCCTGGTGGGCCACGTGGGCCGGCTGAGCCACGGGGAAGTGTCTGTCGCGTAGCCTGCTCTTCCTGCTCCGATCATCGCGTTGAGTGGCGCCAGCGAATTCTTTCCGGAAGTGGACACAGCTGGGCCACTCCAGTTTTTGAACGCTGTGCCGCAATAGTCGATGCGGGGTACGGTCAGGAACTTTGGCTCAGCGTGTCGTTCCGCTGGCTCTGGCCCAGGACGCTTCGGCGCGACACGCTATCCAGCTATCCACGTCCCCATTCCAAGCCGTCCACGGCCCGAGGTTTTCTGAGCCTCCCGCCCCGCGGAGCGGTGCGACACGCTAGCCCCTCGCAGGGCATAGCGTGCCGCTGGGGCCGCCGCAGCGACACGCTCAGCAAAAGTTCTCGATCGTGTGTAGTCTCGCGTCGGACCCGTTTCTGTCCGTCGCTTCCCAGACATCCGGCGCTTCATTTTTTCGAGACACGGGCCCTCGACCTCTCGACCACTTCCCCGGGACCGTTTCTCCATCCCGAGTCGTTTCCTCATGCTCCCGAGGCCCGGCAAGGGCCCCGAGAGGCCGCAAACGACTAAAAACACCCGCCTCGAGAGCTTCCTCTGGAGCGAGGCGAGCGCGATAAAGGAGGTGGCAAAGGAGCTGGGGGAGGAAGAGGAAGGAGGAGGAGGAGCAGGAAGAGGAGGAGGAGGAGGAGGAAGAGGAGGGGGGGGGGGGAGGAGGGGGAGGAGGAGGAGGAGGATTCCGTCGAGATGCGCTTCTTTTCGTTGCCCTGTTGTTGTGTCGTGCAGCGCCGGCCGAGGCGATCGCCCCCCCGCGCGGCCGCTACCGCGCGGGACTGATCGCCGACCGCGCGCGGCGATCGTGCGCGGCGATCGCCCCCCGCGCGCTCGCCCCCCGCGCGCTGCGACCCGCCCGCCAGCGGTGCGCGGCGGCGTCGGCGTCGGCGTCAGCGTCACCGTCGTCGTCGTCGTCGTCGTCGTCGTCGTCGTCGTCGTCGTCGTCGTCGTCGCGGCGTCGGCGTCGGCGTCGGCGTCTTCGTCGTCGGCGTCGGCGACGGCGTCGTCATCGTCAACGGCGTCGGCGTCGTCGTCGACGAGGATGTCGTCGTCGGCGTTGTCGTCGGCGTCGTGGTCGTCGTCGTCGTTGTCGTCGTCGTCGTCGGCGTCGGCGTCGTCGGCATCGTCGGCGTCGTCGTCGGCGTCGTCGTCGTCGGGCGTCAGTGGTCGTCGGCGTCGTCGTCGTCGTCCTCGTTGTCGTCGGCGTCGGCGTCGGCGTTTGCGTCGGAAGCGTCGGTTTCGCGTCAGCGTCAGCGGTGTCGGCGTCGGTGTCAGCGTCGGCGTCGGCGTCGTCGTCGGCGTCGTCGGCGTTGTGTCGTCAGCACTGTCGTCGTCGTCGTCCCCGTCGTCCTCGTCGGCGGCGGCGGCGTCGGCGTTGTCGTCGGCGTCGTCGTCGTCGACCGCGCGCGGCGATCGCGCGCGGGACGATCGCCGACCGCGCGCGCCGACCGCGCGCGGCGAGCGCTCCCCGCGCGCTGCGCCCCCGCCGCCCGCGCCCAGCTGCCGCTCACAAGCGCGTTTTGCGCGGCGGCCCTTGCAGTGGCCGGGCGCGCGACTCTCCGCCGAGGGGTCTGCAAGGCAGGCTCTCTGCGGGCGGTCGTCGCGGGCTTTCGTTGGATGGCTCCTCCTCCTCCTCCTCCTCTCCTCCTCCTCCTCCTCCTCCTCCTCTCCTCCTCACTCCTCCTCCTCCTCCTCCTCCTCCTCTCCTCCTCCTCCTCCTCCTCCTCCTCCTCCTCCTCCTCCTCCTCCTCCTCCTCCTCCTCCTCTTCCTCCTCCTCCTCCACAATTACTGAATATGAATACTACTCTCCCTCTTCCCCTGACGGCGTGCTGGGAGTGGCCGACCCCCCCTATGATTATCAAAGCCCACGAAGTCTTTGATGGCAATGAATACAACACTGATTATGAAAGAGAATATCATCTCACAGCGCGCTCTGTCTGACTCAAGGGCCCTGCCGCAATCCAGGGCCGAAACGGTTGCGGGCTCGTGCTATACAACACACACGCACGAGCATGCACACTATATGTACAGCGTATATATCACACCCGTGAAAGAGTGAAAAACACATGAAACAGAGAGAAGCCTTCCTTCAATCTGAAATATAACAAATCCAAATGAACCGACTTAAGCAAATCCAGATAAACATTCCTAAGATGCATTAGCAATAAACATACTGAAAATCAAAGTTATAATGCGTGAGAAAGTGTAACTAACTCCACGCTAAAGAAACAATGCCGATATGTCGCACTGCACGTAAATGGATCTCCAATCCGAAATCCACAATCATACATGGATCTCCAAACGAAATCCACGATCATAAACTCTCGGGCGGCAAGCAATGAAAGCCGCAAAACGAAGAAATAATAGTATTGAATGCCAACCTCACTTGTGAACTCGAAAACCTTCTGTCAACTCTGGCTCGGTCGTCACCTCGCCTGCTCTGCGAAACCCTTGGGTCTGATGCTGAAACCTCCATACGTCTCCGCTGAGCTTGTATGTCGTCATGCTCTGCGTTCCCACCGTCCTGGCCGTATACAGATCGTTCGACGAGCCGCCGCGTTCGTCGCTTGATGGTCCTTTTGCTTCTATCTCCTTCTCGATCTTCTCCTTTTCGATCTTCGCCCGTAGAACTGCCAACTCAGTCTTGTACTTGTACTCGGCCTCCTTGATCTTGATCAGGTAGGATGCAACAGGATAGGCTCCACATAATCCAAGAAATATGAAGAACATGGCAAACCAAACCAAAATACCATAGCAGTCGTTCTCGTTCTTCGTGTCGTACCCCGTGTGAGCCGCCGATCTGCAACAACTAGTTGCGAACATTGCCAACTGCATGAACGGTGTCGTTGCCTTCCGCGTTGCCGCCGATGTCACCGGCCTGGTCTGGTCTATGCTTTCCTGTCGCTCTTCCTTGGTCTTCTTCTTCGCCGCCGTGTAGTTCGGGTCATGCTTGAGCTGTAGTCTGCCATATCGCAGACGGTCGGCGAGAAGCTGTCTCGCCGCGATCTTTGTGAGCCCGTCCGCGTATTGCCTCTCTGAAGATACCCACCTCCAGCGTGTCATTGTAGCCTCCATCCTCTCACGCAGCGCTAGCACCTCGATGCCGGTCCGCTTGTCCTGGAAGCTGATGATGCTCTCCTTTTGGGCCGCGTCGTAGAGCGCCTTTGCGTCCACGACTAATGCTGACTCACCCGCCATGTGGGTGCTTTCGTCCTTCGTGATGTCCACGCCGTCGTAAATCAGGGCTGCCCAAAATCGCTTCGCAAATTCCAAGCCATCCATGCCCGCTGCTGCTGCCTGTGACTCCGCATGTAGAGAGGAACGTGCCATGCGTAGTAGCTTGAAGGACTTCCAGTCGATCACGCTAAAGTCGTACTCGTGTCCGTCGAATATCTTCTTGTGGCATGCCAGGATGACGTAGCCACCCTGACTAGACCCGTCCTGTCGAACTCCCCAGGCTGCGTCCGTCATTGCTACGATCACTATGTCGCTTACCTGGCCGATCTTCTTCATCTTGAGCCCGACGTCCGAGTTCTGCTTGTAGAACCGCAGTGTCTTGTTCGCCTCCTTGGCCGTGCCCACTGTTGCCGTAGGTAATTGCCCTTGGTGAATGCTAACCGAAGCCGGAAGATGAGGACAAGCTTGAGAGCTTGGCCACTGCAGAGCTCCGAGTAGGGCTCGTAGCTGCCGCTTCTCCTTGATAGTGGGCTCCCTCGTGTTGTCGCTGCTCTTCTGGTCGATCGTGATGGGCTTCAGGTTCTTCGCGTAGGTCGCCATCTTCACTTCAATCTCGCTGCTGTTCGACTTCGGGTTCTCCCAGTGCGGGGTCTGCGTCAAGTCGCTGCCGCAGTAGTCCATCTTGTCGTCTTCGATCCACTTCCTGAACTTGAACCTTCGTTTTACCTCGGTGATAGCTCGACTATAACTGCTGCACGGCCGCCGATCTCCACCTCCCAGCATGTCGTCCACATAGAGTAGAATGAACCCGTCATTATTGCCGTCCTCATCGAAACTGAGAAACGCGCAGGGGTCCAAAGGATGCTGCTTGAGACCGCTGGCCTTGAAGTCGTCCACCGCACGTAGCCACCAACGCCTCGGTGCGTCCACCTGGCCGTACAGTGGCCTAATGAGCTTCATAAGAGTATTCGGCTCGATGCCCATGAGTTCTGCCGCGTCTTTGGGCACCTTCGCATACAACTCGCGCTCTTGGGGTCGTCCTTGAAGAAATGTAGTAGCTACGTCTGCTGTCCATAGTCTCCAGCCGTTGTTGGCCGCCAGTAGTAGCGCCATCTGTCTTGCCAGTCTCGAGGCTGTAGGTGATGCCGTCGGTGCCGCGCCACTGAGTGCGTCGGGGTCGTTGAAACCTTGTAGTACCAGCCGCGCCTTGGCACGTGGTGTGCCGTCGTCGTTCTTTGTCCACTTGAGCACCCACTTAGCCTTGAGTATCCGCCGAGGGTCCTCCTCCCCGGTGGGCTGGTGAAACTCCCAGACGTCATTGCCGAAGAACTCCGTCAGCTCCTTCCGCTTGCCCTGCATGAACGCCGCGCGCTCGTGGGGCGTCATGTTCCTCGTGCTGATGTCCACGAAAATGTCGCTGAGCTTTGCATCCGCGCCGTCGAACTCCCAGCCGAATGGCAGATCCTGACTGGTGACCATAAGCTGTAGAGCTGCAAGTTCGTCGTCAGCATCGTCGAGGTCCGGTACTGGTACCGCGCTGCTCAGTCCAGGGTCGGGTAGAGTGCCTCTGAAGACTCCGCCTCCAGGTCTGGTGAATATCGCCGCCTCCGCTGTGTCCATCCTGATCCGCTCTTTCTGAAGATTTGATATAGGCCTCGACCGCGTCTGTGCCGATCCGAGCTCCTGCTCCGATGATGGTGCTGCCACCGCTGATGACGATGAGGCTGCTGGCTGCGCTGTCTGCGTTGGCTGTGCTGTCGGTTGAGCTGCTGGCTGCTCCTGCTCTGGTGGGGTGTTGTCGGCATCGGCTCCTGGTCTGGCTGACCAGAGTTAGACGTCTGTCGGCTGCCGTCGGGTACCAGCGCCTCCGCGTCAGGAAGATCCTCCGCTGGAGCTGCTGTAGCTGGTGGCACCTCTGGTGTTGCCGTGGCTGCTGCCGCCGCTGACCCAGATTACGATTCCTCTGTAGGTACCTCCGCCACGGGGGGCGCCCTCGAATCAGGACCTTCTCCTCGACGTCGCTTGGATGCTGGACCTTCGTCTCCGTCTCCGTCCTCCGCGTCGTCGTCGACGTCCATGTCCGAGTCGCCCGGTCCGTCGAATGGGGTTTGCTGTGAGCTGATGTCATGGTACTGTGTCACGCCCGTCCTCCGCATGCTGCCCAGTGCATCCTTGGCCTGGGTCAGGTTCTCGAGAAGAACGCACCCTTGATCACTCACGTCTGGCCGAACGTGCTCAGGTGCACACCGTAGTAGCTGCGTGCCGTGAACGATCCAGTAGATGCGTGGTCCACTCTCGTCCTGGCGCATCTCCTTGAACACCGCGACTGCGGTGCCCTTCCACTTGTTCTTGATCAGCTTGTTAGTCTTGCCCTCGCGCCAGTAGTAGCACCGCTGGCCGATGGACAAATCGTGCTTGAGCGCCACGTGTCGTCGTAGGAGTGCGCGTCGAAGTTTGGCTGAGGCGCCCGCCTTCATGAAAGCTAACGCCGCCAAAGACCTCCTTTCCAGCACGTCCTTGAAGTCCTCGTCCTCCTTCATCTGGTACAGGGTCGCTGGCGAGAACTTGTCGCTGGAGTTGGTCATCGTCGTAGTGGGATCCATGCCCAGAACCCACTGGCATGGTGAGTACCCTTTTGTGAACGCCAGTCGATTGACCTGGTGGGGCACATAGATGCACGCCTCGGTGATCAGTTTCTCGTCGAGCACCGTGTTGGCCGTACGCTCAATGGCGTCCTGGCAGTAGAGCTCGATCGCCTCTCGAACCACCTGATGACGTCGCTCCGCCACTCCGAGACTCGAGTGAGCCTCGCCTGCTGCGATCACAATACTGATACTATGTTGTTCCAGAAACTGCGTGAACTTGTCCGACGCGAAGCCTGAGCCGTCGTCGGTGCGTAGCTCGCCCATGGGACCGAACTGCCGGATCCAGCCGCGCTCGACCGCCTTGATCAGTTCGTCGGCCGTCTCCGTCTTGATTGTCCGTAGGGCACAGTACCTGGTAGCACCGTCCACCATCGACAGGATGGCCGTCTTGCCTGTCGCTGTCTTGACCCAGAACACGTCGGCGTAGACGGTCTCGTTGAACTTCGTCGGCTGCTTGGCTGACGCTGTGGGTGCCTTAGGCGGGCGCTGCCGCTGCATGCAGTGCTCGCAGCGATACTCAGACGCGCAGTTGAGCGCGTTCTCCTGAGCTCCTGCTTGCTGTAGTAACCGATGTAGTACCGTCGGGTTGGGATGTCCCATGTTCCGGCGTAGCCGCTTGACGTAGCGCAACGCCTCGGTGCCGCATTTCTCGCGTAACTGCGAGTGCACGTGAACAACCTCCTCCTTCGCCGTCTCGTCCGTCGAGGTGGGGTTGCTGCCGCTGCTGACGTCTTCGCCGTTATAGATCTCCTCGACATCGGCCTCCACCATAACTTGTGCCAGGGTGGCTGCCAAGATGAACGGGTAGTCCTGCGTGACCTTCGTGCGCTTGACGCCATTGCCGTCCACGTTGCCCTCCAGTACTGCGTGCTGATGACACCTGTCGCATCGCGTGCTCATGATAGCCGCCATGAGCTTCTTGGTGGTCCTGATGGTGGTGGGCTTCTTGACCGGCTGATCGTCGTTCCCTGGTAGGGTGAGACCGTACATGCACTGGTCGAAGGTCGCTTTGTAGCCCGGTAGGTTGGACCAGGCTTTGGTCTGCCAAGCCCTCGATGTGGCTGGATGTTCCACGTGAGCATGACGTCCACCTTCACACTGGATGTGATAGATGTCCGCCACGAATTGCAGGTGTGTCCGATGATGCCAGTCACGTAGCTCAATAAGATGCTCCTTCCAACCTGTGCGTTGGTGAATGTTTAGCTCCTGCATGTTGGACCAAGGTCCACACATCGGGGAGAGATGTACTTCGTCTGGCTGTTCTTCGTGTAGCTTGCGCTTGAACCGCTCTCGGTGTTCGGCCGTCGCGATGTCCCAGCCCGTGTGTAGTGCGAACGTCTCGACATCCGCTCCAAGGTCGCGTAGACTCTGAGATAGCCTAGCTTCGCCTGCATAGAAAACCCAGACCTTCCGACGCGTAGTGCAGCGCTTTGCCGCTGCCCGCCGCATCGTCTGCATGTACTGGTCGCTCGCGTGCTTGATCGCCGAGTCGATCTTCTGAATGAAGTTGGTCGTGACCTGCCTCTTGTCGCCATCGTCGCTGCTGTACGTGTCCTGCTCGGTGAGCTGCGTCACGTCGCTGTAGGCGTCCGCCAGGCACCAGCATGGCTCTGGCAGGTTCGGGTCGACTGGCTGGATCGGCGTGAAGCATGATTTTTGCACCGATACTGCTTCATATACTCGCCACAGCAGTTGGCCTTCACGACTCGTTGCGGGCATCCTTCTGAGTGCGCCCGCTGCGGTGCAACTTCCCACTGTTCCCCGTCGTCACTGCTGCTGTTGTCGATTTTGTAGATTTCGTTTAGGAACTCCAGGCCGCCGATGGTTCTATCGCCGTCAATGAACTCTTTGAAATCGACCAGCTCGCACTCAAAGTCCAACTGACTGTCCTTCGTCTGGTCGTCCATGTCCTCAAGCAGATCCACCATGTAATGGCCTTGCGGAGACGTGCGCGCCTCCTCGTAGCTGCCGCCGTTTCACGCCAGCTGCTGATTCGCAAAGTCGACCTGCACTGCAAACTTCTCCAGTAGGGGCCGCGGGAAGAGCATTGGCGTCTTCCCTGGAACAAGGTAAATGTACAGGGTTTCCGTCTTGCTCTTGAAGCTCGCTGGAATGACACCGCACCACAGTGCGTGCTCCACCTTGCCATTGCCGAAACGGAATGGCCTCCGACACGTGTGAAACTCCAGCGTCTCGATCGGGTAGCCCCTGGCGTGGCATGTGGTCAGGTATTCCTTGATAGTCTCCGAACCTGACATAAGCGTAGTCGCGCCGCCGTCCAGGATCGCCAATTGTGCGGGAATGATGCTGGCCGTCTTGCGGTCGCCCCAGTAGACTTCGTCCACCATCATCTCTTGATCCATCTGTCCATGGGGCCGCTTCTTCGGTGGTTCTGGGCAGTCCTTCGCCCAGTGTCCGGCTCCGCCACATCGTAGACAAGTCGCCTTGGATGGTGATGGCCTCGTAGCTGCATCCGCCCTCTCCGTGGGTCTTGGCCTCGTATATGGATTAAATGGGCGAGATGGTGCCGAGTGTGGTGAGCCCTTCCGTCCTGGGCGGCCCTTCTTACCAGCTCCTCGAGATCGTCCGCGTCCTTTTGCTCCGCCCTTGCTCGGCGGGCGCCTCGGTGCTGTCGATGCTGATGATCCCGTCGCGCCTGGTACCATCGCCACCACCGGGCAGTAGCCTCGTGCAAGCTTCCAGTCATTGAAACGCTTGCGAGCGTCGTGGTAGGCCGCGTAGACCTCGTCGTACTCCGATACGTCGAAGTCCTGCATCGCCGCCGTGTCCCGCTGATAATAGGCCTCCTCGCAGTCGTGCCAGCTCTCGTCGCCGTCCTCGGCCCAGTACTCCTGCTCGTAGCCGTCGTCGAACTCTAGTTCTTCGTCTTGGCCATAGTATGCATCTTCTTCGTAGTACTCTCCTGTTTCGTCGTCCACGTGGTACTGCTTCCGTGCATGATTAGGCTTGTATATTGTGCTCTCCTGTCCGAATGTGGTATCCAGCGCCTCGATCACTTTGTCCTGCGTGATATCCTTACCCGCGATGGACATGATGACTGCCTTCTGGTCTGAACTGTAACCGCCTCGTCGTAGAATCAGCCATCCTCGAACCTTGGATGGCAGCTCGATGTCGTGCGTCTTGAGCTTCCGCTCTGACGCCCGAACTCTTGATATGTAGCTGAACAGGGTCTCTGCTCGATTACGTCGTAACTTGTAGAAATACTCTTCAAAGTCATCTGCCAACTCCGTCCGTGTGTCCATCTTGAATCGCTTCCTCAAGCGTGTGAGCAGCGCTGTAGCCGCGCCTGGCTTGATCAGGTCGTCCGCCGTGAGATCCTCAACTTCGTCCCAGGCTTCACCCGTCAGCCCAGCTGATAACATGAGAGCCGCTTCGCCCTCCTTCTTCTCCAAGGTAAGCTTCGCTATGAACATAGTCGCCCGCTTCTCGTACCCCTTCCATCTCGATAATGTGCCGTCGAACTGTGGAACTCCGCGTTCTGGTAACATTGACTGGTCGTCGGCCCCTCTGCCTCCTGCCTTCGCCATGATGCTGACCTTGACGGCGTAGGAGTCGTCCTCGCTGCCGAGAAAGGAATTGCTGATACTGCTCGTGCTCGCTGCTGAAGTCGTCGCTCTGGACCTCGCTGGAGGTCGATTCCGAGATGTAGCTGACGCTGGGCTCGAAGCTACTCAATATGGAGATGTGGCCGTCGCTGCGGATCGGTCCACGGAATATGGAGGGCGCCGACGAGCCTGCCGAAAGATCGACAGGCTCTGCTACCAATATGAACTTATCAAAGCCCACGAAGTCTTTGATGGCAATGAATACAACACTGATTATGAAAGAGAATCTCATCTCACAGCGCGCTCTGTGTGACTCAAGGTCCCTGCCGCAATCCAGGGCCGAAGCGGTTGCGGGCTCGTGCTATACAACGCACACGCACGGGCATGCACACTAGATGTACAGCGTATA